GAACAGCTGGTAATGAGAGGTTTCTGGAGAGGCAAACAGGTCTACCTGAGCGGCTCCGAAACGTCTCCAAATCAGCTGGACCATCTGGGGATGGAGTCTCCATTCTCCTGGAAGCGCCGCTCATGACAGCTCGTCGGCCGCATGGTTGAGCAGACCCAGAATATGAATGGCATGAAGCGACCTCAGATGCTTCTGACTCCAAAGGAGGAGGTGGTGGGCGAGTTGGGACATACGACGGGAGTGCAGACAACCTTGGCAGTTGATGTACGCAACAGTCGCAGTGTTGTCCATCCGGACCAGTACGTGCTTGCCTCGTAAGCTCCCTTTGAGACGATTAAAGGCAAGACGAACTGCTAACAACTCTAGGCAATTGATTTGCCACTGCAGAGACTGCTTGGACCCGGTGAGTGCCACGCTGCCACGCCCCACTTGGGACTCAGCCATGGAGCCAGTGCTGAAGCGGTCTCTTATGAAGTAGCCCCAGTGGTGTGACTGCCGCTTCAGCTGCCATATGCCCCAGGAGCCTCTGAAATTGCTTCAGTGGGACCGCTGTCCTTCCCTTGAACGAATTCAAGCTGTTCAACACTGACTGAGCATGTTCCTCTGTGAGGCGTGCTGTCTGTTCGACCGAATCTAACTCCATACCAAGAAAAGAGATCCTCTGCGTTGAGGAGAGTTTGCTCTTTTCCCAGTTGACCCAAAGACCCAACGGGCTGAGGTGCCTGAGCACCAGGTCCCTGTGCTCGCACAACTGACCCCGAGACTGTGCTAGTAGGAGCCAGTCATCAAGGTAGTTGAGGATGTGAATACCCCACTCTCTCAGGAGAACAAGAGCCCCCTCTGCAACTCCATGGTTCCATGGTTGGGCAGAGGGTGCATTAGTAGGGCCTTTGATAGCACTCTCGAACCGCCCATTGCTGCCCGCTGGCGACAGAGGAGAATGAGTGAGATACAGAACTGGCCCGTCCACAACTCTCCGTGCCCTCTTGAGACCCAGAGATAGAGGAAACGCAGAGCGATCGGGGGAAATGCGTACAGGCATAGCCTTGGCCACGTCTGTACCATGGCATCCCCAGTGGAGCTGGATGTGTGAGAGAAAATGTGTCTCCATTCCCCGGGCCTCAGCCCCTGCCTCAACAGGATGTCCGCTCCTGAGTTTTGCTCCCCGTGGACATACATTACTCTCAGAAACAACAGCTTCCCCCGGGGACCACAGGAGGATCTGATACACCAGACTGCAAAGAGGGCGCAATCTCAGATCCCCCGGTGATTTATATAAGAGACCACCGACATATTGTCCGATCGAATCAGGACATGGTGGCCCCCGAGGTCTGCGAGAAAGCTCCTCAGAGCTTTGTATACTGGCAACATCTCCAGGCAATTTATGTGCCACTAAAGATGATGGCCCCCCCAATGACCTCTCATGAAGCGGCCTTCCATGACTGTGCCCTGTCTGTCAAAATTAATTTCGACAAGTGTCGACAAGACGCCCCCAACACTTGGTCCTGGACAGAAACCAAGGCTTCTTCCATATGACTACAGCATGAAGCCATCTGCGTGTGACTTTGAACATATGGAATGGATTTCCCCTCGGGGTAAACCCCTTGGTTTTCAACCACCACCGCAGGGGTCTCATGTGCAGAAGGCCAAAAGGTATCACGTTGGACGCAGCTGCCATGAGGCCCAGCACCCTCTGAAAATGCTTCACATGGCCTAGCTTTATCCTAGATGGTCTCGACACATGCAGGAGACAACCGTGCCCACATCATAGTTGAATCCCATACCACCCCCAGGAACGTAGTACTCTGGGAAGGTGTCAACACACTCTTTTTTGTGTTGAGTCTCAACCCCAGATGTTTTATATGGCCAAGGACAACATCTCGATGACGAACCGCCATATCATAAGACTGGGCCAATATGAGCCAGTCATCGATGTAAATCAATACACGGATGCCCTGGAGCTGCATCCATGCATTTGGTGAATGTGCGAGGGGAGAGAGCTAGTCCAAACGGAATAACCCAATGTTGGAAAGCCTCGCCCCCAAAAGCGAACCTCATGAACTTCCTGTGAACAGGAAGGATGGAAATGTAAAAGTACGCATCTTTTAGGTCCATCATGATAAACCAGTCCTCGGATTTGTTTTGACTCACAATAATAGGAATCGTTTGCATCTTGAACCTGAATCTCTTCAGAGAATGGTTCAGATTCCGCAGATCTATGATGGGACGCAACCCCCAATCCTTCTTTGGAACTATGAAGTACCGGCTGTAGAACCCGGACTCCCACTCGGGAGGAGGAAAGCGTTCTATGGCCTCCTTCACCAAGAGGGAGTGCACTTCCTGTTCCAGCACCCGATCCTGCTCTGGGTCAGACCACCCCATTGAACTTCGGTGGGCAAGACCCGAATTGAAGTCTGTAACCTCTTACTACAGTGTGCAGGACCCACTGAGACATTTTCAGAAACTCTTTTCATACTTCTAAGTGATCTACTAGGGGAATTAGCCTCTCGAGGCCAGCCTCGGGACCCAAGCCACGGGGAGCACGAGCCTGGCCAGATTAATTGAAGCAGTAAACACAAAGACTGTTTGTGTCCCTCCCGTGATGTATCTAGGGCAGGGAGGTACACACCGCTTAAAATTATTTATTTATTGTTTCTAACTATCAGAGTCACTCCTGACTTTGACAAACAACACCAAGGACAGACAGTTCACAATGAGGGCTTGCTGAAGGGCAAAAAGCTATCTCTATTGTGTACTGGCATCCTTTTGTAGTTTCCATGTCTGTCGTCACATGCCACATCACTTGCTACATCATGAAGCAACACCAATCAGGATTGGATTAATTTCACACATGCTTCAGACGCTTGCACAGTGAAGGTGTTCCCCAAAGTGTCATCATATAATGCAGCTCGAGTTCCCTCGAAGGGGAACAGTGTCTTAAAGATATTTCCTTGAACATATTGTGTGAAACCTGAAGCAGATTTTCAGGCATCACACAGATCAATTTAGAAATTGGAAATACATGACTCTGCCTACATTTCTGCAAAAATGCAAACACACATATACATACATTTCACTGAAGTTTCTAGTTGAAACGAAAACACTAGTGGCAGTAAAATGCCAAAAACAAAGTCCCTTTTCAAACAAATTATAATTATGGGACAGATTATTGATTAATAAACACTTGTTTTTGCAGTGTTCCTGGCACAATACTGTCTTATGACCTTAAAATACTTTTACCACAGTGCATGATTTGAAATAATGAATACATAATGAATACATTTTAAGCATTTTGCATCACATAACCCGCTCCATATGAGTAAATTTTTGGATGACATTTCATTTACAAACTGCTTTGATACATACAACAACCAATATAAAAATAAATTAATTAATTAAAAAAAAATGTTGCCACAGTCAGGTGTAACTGTTTTGAAGAAAACACGCCTGTAGTGCCAGTCACTAGACATTTCACTTTAAAACTTGCTGTGGTATATGCTAAAGCTACAAGCGACACAATATCAGTTTGCAAGCATGAAACTGGGTTGTTTAGTAAACCTGCATCTGCAATGGAGAAAAAAATATATGGCTTATAGTGCTTCTTGTGGACGCGTCACCTGAAAAGTGCAGCAAACTGTATTATAAAGCAACATATTTCAGGTTCATGTGGAGTCACGTAGAGGCAAAGTCACATATTTCCAATGAGCCTGAGTTGGAATTTACAGAGAAAAAGGTTACTCCCATTGCGAGTTTTACTTAAAAACGCACTGAGGGACAGGTGGAAGTTATTTTCTGTGACATTATACCACAAATGCTGTCAATAGCACTTAGCTACTATTGAACTCAGAACATACCTTTAAAGAACCAAACAAGGCCCAAGAGCCTCACGTCGACTACCAAAGATGCATTATTGACCATTACCAAAGAGCTGGTTGGCTATTGCCTTACTTCATTTGATTAAAACTCTCAGTTTAAAAGTCAGATTTTGCAAACTACGTCTCATTTGCTGCAGATGTTTTGAGTGCACTTGTAGGACATTGAGCTGAGCTGCAGTGGCATGATTGAGCGCTGGGATTTTGGGGATTTAGAGTTCTTCTCCCAATCTGATCTGGTCTGAGTGGGTGGGCGATCATTGGTATTAATTTATTAACATGAAAATCCCAATTGCAAGACCAGCTTTAATCAGTGGAAAACCACAAGAGCAGGCAGACAAGAAAGCCAAATAAGAAGGGCACAAGTGTGACATTAAAATAAGGGAGATTAGCGAAAAGGGCGGTATTCAATTAAAAAGGTCAGAGGGATTGTAAGTCATTGCAGATAAAACTCACACACATCTCATCACATCTCTTCAAATATTTACATATGTATTGACAATGGGTGAATTTCATGAAAATACTCTTTATATAAAAGATATATTAAAGCTTTAACTTTTTTCAGTTTTCTTTTTAATTTTAGTTCGTTTTATATATTTTGTTATAGGCTTTTGTCATTTTTTATCATTTTTTAAACATTTCTATATAACTGTAATTTTATTTTCATTTCTGTTTTATTTTCTGTAATTTTTGTGCTTCATCTTATTTATTTCATTTAGTTGCCAAGGCAACATTTCTATTTTTTAAGTTTTTTTTCATCTAATATGTATATTTTATCTAGCTTTTTTTAAATAGTTTGAATTTTAGTTAAAAATAAGGACTTCTTTCTTTTTTCTTTTTTTCTATATTATTCTTATTCTTATTATTTGATTTGGGGGTGATGTGTGACCTGGAAATTTATTTATTTATTTTTAAATTCAACCTATTTTATTTACTATTACTCAAGAAGAAGAAAAAAAGATAATATGTGACAGAATGGTATGAGCAAAGGTATATCAATAATGAGTGAGAGAAATGGCATATCATTGTGTATATGCTACAGACAGATCGTAGTGTCTGTGGATGGAGAAATGAGTGTGTGAGACATGTTTGATGAAGATGTTTCAGGAGTTTTAGTTGTCGTCTTACCCATCTTAGACTTCCCGTCCTCGTACTTCGTACGCTGTAGTACATGATGTACTATTCTGCTTCTGGTTGAGTTTGAGAAAAACGTCTCTCTGTTGTTGATGGTAAAACTACAAGAAAACAAAGTACATTGTTTTAATACACAAATGTGCTGTAAGTTGCATGTACGAAACTGAATACAGTAAATATAAATACACCACAGCAGCCTAGAGATCAGTATTTAAAGCTTTAGTATGTCAGTGTAAATAATAAATTAGAGAGGATCACAGCTGACCCAACACATAAAGCTCAGAGCAGATTGTGTGTCTTACTACACCCAGCTATCTCAGCACCGAGACAAATTCATATATTAAAGATGGGCTTCCTTCCTAAATGAAATTAATGATATTAAGTGTCCCCAAAAGGCAAAGATTGTGTTCTTCCTAGCTATCACTTTCCCTAGAGACAGTAGGAGACCTTTAGGCGCTGTCAGTTGCCCCTTCCTGCCTTACATTTGCTCCATTCGTTCCATGGTTTTGCAGGCTTTTCATCCCCCTCCCTTTGTGTCGGCGGATCTTGAGAAGCTTAACTTACTGTGCTCTGTTGGGGCCCTCGACACTTATCAAGTCAAGTCAAGTCAAGTCTGCTTTATTGTCAATTCTTCCACATACAAAGCCCTCTGCCGCGGGTCTTACCTCCCTTGACGCGAGCTCTGTCTGCTCGATAGCATGTCAGCTGATCGAGATGAATAGCGCAGTCCGGAACGCTGTTGTTGAGCCATGTTTCCGTGAACACAAAAACACAACAGTCTCTTACAGTCCTCTGAGTTGAGCGTAGTAGTCAGATGTAGTCCAGTTTATTGTCCAAAGAGCGTACGTTAGCCAGTACGATGGTGGGGATAGCTGGCTTGTGTGGGTTAGCCGCTAGCCTAGCCCGGATACCTCCGCGCTTACCCCTCTTCTGCTTCCTCTCACGCCGCTTGTGGCGCCTCCGCTGTGGGCGAGATGCAGTAGTGGGGGTCGGTGATGGTGTGGGCCTCCGGAGCAGACCGAGATCCCAAAGCTCTTCGGCGTGCGCAGAGTTTAACTCTAAAAATGTGGTTCTGCCGACATCGAGCAGAAACTCACGACTGTATGCGCGCTTAGAGACAGATAGACGCGACGAGTACGTACAAAAACACTGCGACTCACAAGACAAAAAACACAAAAACACCTTTCTGTCGGGAGAGAGAGAAGCCGCAGCGTGTGAACGCGCCGCCATCCTTGGGTAGAACATCCTTATGTTAGAAGAACATCTCACTGATGAAAAACTGACCAGCTATCGGTATGCTTCGGGACCCCCAAGAAGGGGTCCCCAGCCTCTAAATAGACCATTAGCATATGGATTGTGGAAGCGATATGTAATCCATATGAGGTGCGGGACATGCCTTCACCTCTAGTGGTAAAGGCTCATTCCATCAGAAGTATGGCAACTTCAAAACCTTTTATATTTGAAAAGATTTTAAAGTCTGGACCGGCCTTCTACAACAGACTGCCGAGTGCTTTCGTCCTTAGTCATGCCAAGACAGTTTCATACCAGGACAGGCATTTCTCAGTATATGCCGGAGTAGGCATTTTGTTCCCCATAGTGTAATCATTTGGATGCAGTGTGAGTTCCCTCAAAAGGGAATGTCTCAGTTCACGACTGTAACAACGGTTCCCTGAGAAGGTAACAAGATGCTGTGTCCTCTTGCCATACCTACTGCATGCCTAAGAGTTATTTGCTTCAGCCTATCAGAAGCTAGGCAGTGTGGGGGAAAGTTACTTTTAAAAGTAATGCATTACAATATTGCGTTACTCCATAAAAAGTAACTAATTCCACTTTTTATGGAAAGTAATTCATTACATTAGTTTTGCATTACTTTTGTCACCTGAACTGGGCTTGCTTATTTATTTTTAATAAAAAAATTAAAATAAAAAAAGTTCTAATTTTGGCAACTGTAAAGGCCCTTTCACATAAAAAAAGTGAAATTAATAAGCATTAGGCTAAAGAAAGTGCCTCTGCCTCTGCACTTCACACAAAATTTCTCCCAACAAGGGGACAGGAGAGGTGTCAGTGAATAAATGGGAAAACAAAGTAACTGGCATTATTTTATTTTCTTGTAAATTTAAAGTAATGCATTACTGTACTAGTTACTTGGGAAAAGTAATCTTATTACATAACTTGCATTATGTAATGCATTAACCACAATACTGTTTGCGGGAATACTATATAGCTTCCACACCATCACACGCCATGTGTGACGCATCACCAAATGATGTTTTATTAACAAGGTTCGGGAGGAGCACGATCAGATAATCAACCAATTCGGCTCAGGTGGAACTCGTTCAGTTAATCAGCTTAACTAGCACAATACGTTTACCTCTGTCCCACGACAGTTTTCCGGTATCCCTCCTCCACCCCAACTCCTCAGTATTAAACTATTCTCATCCCATATTAGGGATGGGGGGAGTTCTCTGAGTTTGGGCTATATTCCGAGCTCGGAGCCCTCCCTCAGAACAGCATGCCAAATATACATACTATTTGCTCAATCCAATTATATGTAAGTGCGAACTCGTGAATCAGGATTGGAGTAGTTGCACACGTGTTTCAGACACAGTCACGCAAAGGTATTCCCCATAGTGTCATCATTTGGACGCAGTGCCTCGTTCCCATCTCAGGGAATTTTAAAACTCAAAAGTAAAACTTTATCACAAATTAGATTACAAACAAATGCAAATTTAGGAAATGTGCTCTAAATACACATTTGACGTTGCAAAAGTTGAAGTACTAAAATTTAAATAAATAAATAAATAAATAAAAAATTAACCCTGAAATAAAATGAAATCTAAATAGAATTTTTTTTTAAATCGTATTTTAATCAAAATGACAAGCACAACAAAATTACTAAAAACTAAAATTAAATAAGAAAAAATGAAAAAATGCAAAAGCTAAATCAAAATATTTATAATTATAAAAGTATAAATAAGACTAAATAATATATGCAAAAAAAATAATTCAATTCTATTTTTTAGTAATATGACATTTTTGAAAGGTTTCATAAAACTCAGTCTTCTGCTACTGTGGGGGAAAAGAAAAAAAACATCTGTATTACTCGTTTTTTTTTTTTGTTTGTTTTTTTTTTGACACTGCAGTGCATTAGAAAGATATCTGCAGAGAGTGTTTCAAGTTGTTGTTCAGGTTAAACCCTACTTGCCCTCTTGCAACATGTCTGTGCATACAAAACCTCTGGCCGGCCTCAAATAAACCCTTCCTAACAGCACTTACTTACATGCATTTACACTGATCTCTGATCTGTAAAGTAAACGTCAGCAACCAATGACTCATACATTCACAAACAGTCATCAGGCTCAAGTACATCAAGAACATGGTCTGAAAGTGCCTCCATCATAAAATCTGCTCTAAAAGGGTCAGCTGAGGCTAAAATCTGTGGTGGATTCTGAAGTCCCTTGAGCTCATTGCTGGATGAAGGTTGCGAGATTGTGGTTCCAGCCTCAGTTAGCAAACCATGGCTGAAATGTATATGAGGCCATGGCTATTTAATTGCAGTATCATATTCCCAGATAACAAAAGGTGCAGAGCAATGACATTTTTTGTTCTGTATACATCAAATATATGATATTATCTGAGAAGACGTGAAATTTAATTATAACAAGGTCATGGTAGAGGGACATACTGGTGCATTCTGGCCCTGCTGAAGGGGGCAGTGTAGCAGTCGGTTTCCTCCAGGTCTGGTAACGCCTCTTTATCCAGTTTCATGGGGTTTCTGGGCAGCCAGCTCTTCAGCTGACAAAATCTCAACTGAAATCGGCTGTAGACATAACGTTTGCATTAGCATTTGTCAAAAATAAGGTACAACAAGCAGACAAAAAATAACTCCAACGAGCAGAGTTGTTAATCATAGTTTCTTCATTTCACTCACAGTCACTTCTAGAATTGAATTCTTTTCTGATGCAAATTAAATCAAGCCTGATTAAATCAGAGGTGATTTTGTGCCCTGAGATGCACAACAAATATCGGGCTAATTAACTCTATAAAATGTGTATTCCCCACAGCAAAGTCTGACTCAAATTAAATTTCAAGAAAATTAACAAAATTGAGATGCTGAAGATGTTTTTGACTTTAATGCAAAAGAAAAAAAATCATTAACTATCAGTCAAATATGTGGAAACACAGACCGGTAACAGTCCTACCTGCCCATAGTTTTTTTCTTCCAGTCTGTGAAGTAACACTTTTTCCTATAAAAAAATAGATATCATATGGTCACAGTGCATTCACATACAGTACAGTATGAAGTATGGTGACAGTAATCTCTACCTGAAGGGCATTCTAATGTTCATCTGCTCAGCATATTTACACAGCGTGTCCCACGGTGCATGAATCTTCACAAACATGATATCACTGTTGGTTAATGAGGGCTGTCAAAGTGAAAAACAAATCATTATCGGCATATATATTCAATTAATATGACATGGTTTTTGAGCAGACTGTTTTCAAAAATGTACTAATCATATAAATAACATGTATATGAAATTATATATTTTTTAAATATATCTGGTTTAAATTTCTATTCATTTTATATGATGTTTGTAATTTTTACAACCCTAAATAAAATTTTTACATACAAATTTTAAATAAAATTATTTATTTTTTTAGCAATAAGCATTAATGGGATCATATGATGTGATTTCATGTTGTCCTTTGTCTTTGGAGTGTTAAAAGCTGTTTGTGCATACAGAAGATCCGTAAAGTCGCAAAGATTAAAGTCTCAAACCCAAGGAGATATTCTTTATAAAAGTGAACGCTCAGCCACGCCTTCCTAAAACGCCTCTTTCAAACACGCCCCCACATGTCTACGTCACTGTGTGGGAAGATTTGCATAACACCACACAAATGTTCATGCAAAGAAAGAAGGCGTAACTTTTATTCTCGCCGCCGCCGCCATGTCGTGGAGACGCTGTGTGTTTCGTTGTGAAAGCGAAACTACTTTGTTTGGTCTTCCAAAAGAGGACACAACTAGAAATCAGTGGTTAAGTTGTATTTACAACACTGTTCCAGAACAGTTCGCATTTTATGGAGGACTGTTTCCTGAACCTGGTAAGGGGCGTAACATTTCCGTCACACGCTTGAGGAATTCGGCCAATCACAACGCACTAGATCGCTGGCCAATCAGAGCACACCACGCTTTTTGAACCTTAAACCGCATAAACACATTGCATTACACCAAATACACAAAATAATGTTCTTTTTAGCAACGTCATATGACCCCTTTAAGTAAATATTTAAATTAAACAGATAAAAGGAAAAAAAAAATGCATCATATGAAAAGTTGCTGGATTGCTAGCTAAAAATCCACATATGGTTCCAAACTAGCCCCTACTAAATGATCATTTAATCTACAACCATTTGTTATCTATCCAATGTAACTATGGAAACAACGTTCTGAGCCTTTTTAATGACAACATCAATGTGAATGTAAAAAAAAACATGATATTTAGTTTGACATCCATTGGTTAAGCATCTCATTTTACTGATATCGAAAAACAGTTTTTTAAGAGTGTCAAAAATTATTTGGACTATATCTGTGTAAAGTGGCAGAACTAGGAAAAGCTGATGTTGTTACCAAGCTTGGGAAAATGTTGAAGCTTATTTTACTGCATGTTTCGACATTACAAACACACCTACAGAAGAGCTGTAGAGGTAAAAAAAAAAAAAAAGTAGTATGACTAATGCCGGAGTTGTGCTACAGTATAAAAATGGTATGACAGATCTGGGAAAATAAAAGTAGATTTGATAAAGTAGAGTTCAGGTGTTCCGATACTAATATAGAACGTCTCAGGTTACTTATATAACCATGGTTCCCTGAGTAGGGAACGAGACACTGCGTCCTCTAGGGGTCGCTATGGGGACGCCTCGTCGTGACCCGTGTCTGAAGCATACATTGAAAAAACACCAACTCGTTGGCCGGCGACAGCCATGAGAGTTACCTGAGAAAACCACACATAACTTAACACATAACTTAAATAGTGCACACAATCCTTGAGCTTTTGACTCTTGACTGACATTAGGTTTGTTCTAAAACTTATCGGCTTAAGTTGTGACGTATCAAATACTGTATACTACATTATAGTTGCTTCAAGAGAAAAATGGTTATTGTAAATATACATACATTTCTTTAAATATATATATTTTTTTATAAATTTAATTTAATTGCAAATAAAAGTCTCAATACAGTATTTGTCCAAGCTATGTATGTTTATGTTTATCAGAATATTAAATAGTAAGCGTGGCAGCATGCTAACATCTCTATGAGAATCAATCAGGAGTCAAGTCTCCTGTCTTTCCGTCACATTAGAAGTGCTATTTGTGGGCTGTGCAGAGTTGTCTATGAAGAGTTTTACTTCTGAGGTTTTATTTCAGACAGAATGCATTAGAAGGCAGCGGCCCAGACAGCAAGTCAGCTCACTTTGGAACAGAGCTAGTGTCTATTTTCTGCTGCCATTCAAAAGCTGCCAAAATAACCCTATTGTTCTATTCTGTGATCTTTCCTTGAGGGCGAAAATAATCAATCCAAACAAATGACCGTTAAAATACCACTGTCATTGTTCTGTACCTCCTTCTCCAGCATTAGACCTTCCGCCCGCAGGTTCCTCTCAAATGTGCACCTCTTCTCCACCTGAGGGCTGGATTTCTTATAGACTAATATATAGTCAATGCGCTTCTTCCCATCTCTAAACATCAATCCTGAGGGGTTTTCTAAATTGTTCCCCTGAAAAAAAGAATCAGAACATTTCTTAATTTCATTTAATTTTGTTAGAAAATATTAAACAATAGTTCTGTTCAGTTTTAGTCCTAAAACATTTAAGACATGGGTTCCCTCAAGAATTTCAAAATTCACTTTTGAGGTACGAGTGTAATTTATGTTGTAGAACAAAGTGGGAAATGCACTTCAAATAACATTTTACCACAGACCTTTTTGTATTTCTAAATCAAAAACTACTTTTCTAAAAACCCATTAGAATTTCCTGAGGGAATTTTTCAGTGTTGGCTTACAATCTGACATTATTGAATATCATCTCGATATTCTGCTGAATCAACATTTAATTGTGAGAAAGAATAAACATGTTATGTGATAAGCGCTTATAAGTGGGTGCTACTCAAGGTAAAAAAAAAATGTTACTCAAGATCTGATTTAATTCATCATCAAACACAGATCTTAAGCTGAGTTGGCAGCATATCAGCAGGTAAGAGGAGAGATGTTGTACCTGTATGGAGTCTGTGCGGGCCTCTAGCTTTGCTCTGGACACTGGTTTCTGCTGGACGTGTAATGTTTCATCTGTTTTAGGCTCAAACTCCCCCGCCTCCCTCTCTTCCATATAGACATCCTGACTAGTGTCTGTCCAAGAGAGAAACATTGGGTTTTATGAGGTCAACACGTTTAAATGAAGTGGTGATGAATATGGATGTGCAAATTGGCTCATAAAAAACAACTTTCAGATATTATTCAGTATCATGCTGAGTTAACCATTATTAATCATCTCTAGGCTGGACTACTGCAATGCTCTTCTGGCTGGACTTCCATCAAGCACAATCAAACCTCTACAAATGATTCAGAATGCAGCGCATGGCATTCATGGCTCAAAAACAAACAAACAAACAAAATCTTTACCCATGAGAAAAGATGGCATCATGAGGGTCACATACGTCTAGAGGCGTGAGATTGGGAATAGCTTTCTTGGGGCAATACAGACCTAACTGGATTTAACAGTCTGGGTTTCGATTGACAATGGGCTTTGAATTCAAGCAACGAGCCATTACATTTCTGCTAACACAAAGTTAGTGCTTTCATCACCAACATTTGTCTAATTTATCTTCTCTGTTCTGAGATCGCTGCTGACTGCTGCAGCTGGTAACCCTCATTAGCTCTACAGGTGTTTAGACAAGACAGCTTGTTCCAAGTGCTGTTCTAAGGTTCTCAGTGAAGATGCTGGAATCATTTCCAAGTGTTGACATTGCCGGACTCCTCTAAGAACAGCATTACATTTTCCCTTGAGTTTAGTACCACCCACTAATGGTCATCATTTTGATACAACACTCCTGCCAGGAGATCTTTTAGCAAAAGCACTTGACCTGATGAGGTCAACACAAAAGCAGAATGAATAATGGTTAATGAGATGGTCCTTTCTAAGCCAGCTGATTTTCATAGTTATTCTGTGCCTTTAGTCCACATGCATACAGAGAAATTTAAGGTCTGCCTTTTGTAGTGACAGTTCTAAGAACAACAGTAGAACTAAACCGTTACCTGAGTGACAATAGGTGATGGTTTGGATCTGATTCATTTCACTGGCCATGATATTCTGCTAATGTATGCAGCCCTAGAAATATGTGACCTGCATACTGTCATTTTTGCTCATGGGCACTCAGTTATGGAAATATTTATCTTGTGACACTCTTAAACTATTACTAAACTATTACTGAAATGTGATTACAGCCTTGGAACATATAGTTTGTGTCTTCGGAGGCAGTAGTTCCCTGCCGTTCTCTAGCCAGTTCTCCACGCAATACAGTTTTGGACCGTGGCATCCGACTCCTCTTCACAGCATGGGGTACCACCCCCCTAAGGAATATCGGGCACCAGTTTTCCAATAAGTCCCTTGGTTCTGAAGTTTGACTGTTCCCTGCTAATGAGTCACTTCACCCCACATATCTCAAGCTCTGCCTCACATCAGTAGGGTAGATGAGAGAGAGCACTTGATACCTCCCGATTATTCGGCAGCACGGAGACTTCTGCCAAATGTGTCAGCTGGGACAAATGAGATGATATGGTCTCCGGGAGTCCATGAGCTAGGTGGCCTTCAAGGTCCACACCCCAGCCTGTAAGAGAGGCATCCATCAAAATTGTTTTTCAATGACAACACTCCCCTAGTGGGACACCCTGAGCCACAGAAGAAGGGTAGGAAGGCACCTGCGCATAACCCTTAAAAAGCATCTGCTTTTGAGCCACCATTTAAATGGTCTCATATGGAGTAGGCCCAATGGAATGACTGGGGACGCTGCAGCCATGAGAGAAATAGGCTGACTGGAATATCCTAGCCTAGCTTAAAGCTGTCCACACAGGCAAGTTCGACCAGATACGAGCAGGGATAAAGTTGCCTGCATTGTGGTCGAATCCCATTGCATTCCTAGAAAAGTCTGTATTTTCTTGGAGAACGCACACTTTTCTTGGGATTCAGTCTAAGACCTAGACACCATAACTGAGTGAGAACAACATTTATATGTTGGACTGCTAAAGCCTCACACCGAGTTAAAAATAGCCAGTCGTTGAGGTAATTCTGTACATGAATGCCCTTGAGTCGCAGTGGAGCCAGAGCTGTGTCCATGCACTTCATAAAAGTAAGAGGTAACAATCTCGAAGGGAAGGTATATACGAAAGCGAACCTGAGAATTGTTTTGTCATTGGTACAATCTGAATATGAAAATAGGCATCCTTTAAACTTATCATGACAAACCAGTCTGACTGAAAATTTGGTGCCCATTATTCTCTTGAGGGAAGACAGTCCTAACAACCTCTTGTTCCCCAGTACCCTCCGAGGAGGTGTCAGGCACTACGCTCCAGCAGCCATGCAGTGCAGAAAACCCACTGGGAACTGCTGCCTCCCCATAACACAGAATGTGGCTGGTTTAATAAGATAGCCTTGAGGGCATTGAGGAAGAAAGAGCACACAATGTTATGGTGTGTCACACTCTCCCCTGAGGGGGCTTGCCCTCAGAACCCTGAACGCCTTGGCATCAGAGCTGATCTTTTCCGGCAGACCAGGAGGAAATGACAAATCTCAGGTCCAGCTTTCAATTGGACTGCTGAGAAGAACACTTTCCCTTGCTAGTGAGAGCTAGAGCCAGGTTTAACCACAGGTGCAGCTTCGTGGCAGCCATACCAGCAACTGAATGGCCAATCGTGCAGGCCGTTTTCTTTGTGGCATGGCAGAGTTCCGACAGAGCGATGATGTACTGTAGCCTGAATTAGGCCTTACCAACCATACTAGATGTAACTTTACATGTTCTGGAGGGTAATGATGGTCCTCTCCAGGGCGTGCAAAAGAAGTTGAGAGATAGTTAGCTAACATCTCTTCAACCTTAGGCATCGATGCATTCCCATGCTCTGCCAGCCCTGCGACAGATGAATAATTAGACAGGTTGATGAAGTGAGTTGAATAAGGCTTCTCCCAGGACCTTGCTAATGGCACTTTTCCACTGCGTGGTACAAGCTGGCTTGGCAACGGCACGGCTTGGCTCACTTGCTTTTCCACTGCAGTTAGTACGGCTTCAAAGTGGGTGGCAATATTGACTAGTTGCGCCGCCTCTACCGCCGTGACATCATTGTAAACGCGAGACACAAACGTGCATATAGAAAAAAATATATATACAAAAATTAAAAAGGAGATACAAACACACGACACGGGGGCCGTTCTTTTTTTATTATTATTTACATTTTTTTAAAGCAAGTCGTTTAAGTCATGCAAACGATACTGCGGTGGCTGTTGATGCTAGCAGGTTTGGTGTCTCGTGTCGCAAATCCAATGACCACTGGTAGTGACGATTCTCTCTGACTAATCAGTGATCTGCAGTGTTAACACGTTACATTTTAGTTTCGGCACGGCTCGCTTGGAACCTCGACCAGGGTGGTACTATTTAAGTGAGCCATGCCGAACCATACCGTGCCGTGGAAAAGTGCCATAACTTGTTGTGGAGATCCTGGAAGAAAGGAAGCCACCTAAGAGGAGGATGAGTGCTTTGACCTGATAGAAAACATTTGTCTAAATTAATTTGGGACACTTTCAGTTCTTCCTCAGGCCAATTCAAACTGAGTTTGTCTATGGCACAAGTTAACACATCAGTTAATCAGTGAGGTACTGTAATTGTCTCTTTATCACTATGTGTGGAAACATCACCCTGTTCAACATTTAACTTCACAGAGCAAGATGCAGCCAGTATCATGACCTCATGAAGTCTGAAAGAAATCGCAGAGTGAGCTTTCGGGTCTGCCAACATGTAAAATACTTAAGAATTAACATGAGATTGTGTTGATATTACCATATTCAACCAAAAGCTAATTGAAATACAAAGAAAAAAGTTTGCTAGTGCGTACCTGTGGGAGGAGGTGTGATGTTTGTGCAGGAGGCACTGATGTTGTGAGTGTATGTTTTGGGTTCAGGACTCAGAGGCACAGACAGGAAGTGATTGAGGTTCTGAGGATGCGTCTGACTCTGAGCCAGACACGGCAAACTGCGGCGAGACGACTTTAGCGTTTTCTCCTTCAAAATCTCACTGATACTGGTGTGCATACCTGCTGAGAGAGAAACATAGAAATACATAATTGAGACAGTGGATTAAAAATACCAACATTTACACTTTGAATATAAAAATAGATTATCTTTAGAAAGGCATTTTTCGTTCTGTTGTACATGTCTCAACAATCAGTGTCATCAGTATTTGATCCAAATACTCTGTAATGCAATATAGTACCAGTAAAACTCACTTACACTATAAAATACAAAGGTATAATGATCACATCAAGGATAACCAGTGTATTACATTTACTTAATTAAATAACTCCTGGAAGCACAGTCAGTCTTTATTGACTCACAAGGTCATCTATGGATAAAGGATTCACTAACTGCATTTCAAAACCATGTGGGCCAGATACTGTTCGATTGTTTGCAATAGTCAGAAGAAACAGAAGATGCTGTTTTGGTACACATAATAATCTCCATTAAAGGGGCCATAAACTAGCTGACATGGAAAATTTGACAACACTTTATTAGTGTTGGAGGTAACGCATTACAAGTAATGTGAGTTACATAATCAGATTACTTTTTTCAATTAACCAGTAAAGTAACGCATTACTTTTTAATTTACAAGAAAATATCTGAGTTACTTTTTCAAATAAGTAATGCCAGTT